AAAAGTAGGTCCTATATGCTGAACTCCAAGACTTCTAATAAACGACGGAGGAGCAAGAAGCCATGGTGGTCCGATTCGCTGACGACTTTTTGGAACGAGATGTGTAAAGCCGAAAAGAAATGGTGTAAATGCAGGACTAAGTCAGATAAACAGTTTCTGATACACTGCTTTGTGACTTTACGTAAGAAGTTTGATAAAAGTGTACAACAGGCTAAACGTGCATATGTGAAAGAGACCGTGAACAGTCTAGATGAATTATGTACGGCTCGTGATAGTGAGTTCTGGAGACAGAAAGGACGTGTAGGTGTAGGGTCGGAGAGGCACTAGACAATACCGATGGCAGTAGTTATGGAGGATGGGAATGTGGGTGTGGGAAGGACATAGTGTTGGAAAGGTGGAAAAATGTCTTTAGCGGTTTGCTAAATGGAGACAGTGACACGAAGTTAGCTTCTAGGAGAGACGGTGAGAGCGCCAATGACCATGTTCTTTTCAACGACAGCATAAGTCTATTTGAAGTAAAGACTGCTATCCATAAGGCTCATACAGGAAAAGCAACAGGTTTCGACGAAATCCCCGTCGTTTTGCTGAAGTCTGATGCTATCGCTAAAACGCTCCACTATATTTTTAATAATTGTTTTAATACAGGAAAGATTCCTCAAATATTGTCGAAAGGCATAATTAGTCCCATTCCAAAGTGCTCAACCCTGGGCCCTAGAGACCCCCTCTCATACAGGGGTATCATACTGACTACGTCCATTTATAAACTGTATTGTAGTATCCTTAACAGAAGACTACAACTGTGGACAGAAGCTAACGACGTACTCAATGATTCAAAGAACGGATTCAGACAAAAAAGATCTACTATCGATCACGTCCAAACGCTAACAGCAATTATAGAAAACAGAAAAGTAAAAAAGAAATCTACATTTGTTGCATTCATTGATTTTAAGAAAGCTTACGACTGTGTTAATAGAAACATTTTATGGGATAAACTTTCTCACCATGGTATTGGAGGCAACATGTTACCTGCGTTGCAATCATTATACAAGGGTGTTAAATGCAGTGTTCGAGTGAATGGTTTCTTTACTTCCTGGTTCACGGTAAACCGTGGCTTAAAACAGGGGTGTTTGTTATCTCCCTTGCTTTTTAACTTGTTCATAAATGATTTATTATATACTCTCAAAAGTCTTAATATTGGTGTAACTGTAGACAATTTTAATATTGCAGCATTAGCATATGCAGATGATTTAGCATTGTCAGCTGAGAATGAAGCTGATCTCAGTCTACTGTTAGATGTTTTACATACTTGGTGTTGCACAAATAAGATAGAGATCAATAAGGAAAAGTCTAAAATTGTCCATTTTAGAAATCCGTCTGTCATACAGACGAAGCATGTTTTTAATGTCGGAAATATGATTTTAGACATTGCTGCTAAGTACAATTATCTTGGTCTACTGTTCACAGACCAATTAGATTTTACTGCAATGGCACGTGCAGCAGCGAAGTCTGCTAATAGGGCTTTGGGCCTGTTGATATCCAAAGTTAAGACAATAGGCGGTATGCATTTCCAAACCTATTCCAAATTGTACGATAGTATGGTGTGGTCTGTCCTTGACTACGGGGCGGCTATCTGGGGTAATTATGATGTGTCAGCAATAAATGCTGTACACCATAGAGCCATTAGATTTTATTTGGGACTCGGCAAATACGCCCCTGACGTCGCTATAAATGGGGACATGGGATGGATACCGCCTGTTGTCAGACAGTGGAAAAGTGTAGCAAGACAATGGTGGCGCCTTAAGAATATGTCTAGTAGGTTAAACAGACACGTGTTTATCTGGGCTGATAGATACGCTGTAAATGGTTGTAAAAATTGGAATGGTAGGGTAAGAAAGAAGTTTACGAATATGGATTTCAGACATCTATTAAACGCTACAGGTTTAATTGATAAATTTTCTGTTTGTACACAGGTGGAAAAATGGTGTAAAAATGAATATGTTACCCGTTGGAGTGATATGTTAAGAAAGGAAGAGGGGCGAAATGGGCTTAATAAATTGAGAATGTATCGATGTTACAAACAAGTATATGGGACAGAATACTATGTTTCAAATAAGATGCCCAGAAACTATAGATCGGCACTAGCCAAGTTTAGATGTGGCGTGGCTCCTATTCGAGTGGAAACCGGTCGATACGAAGGTGTACCTGTCAATAATAGAAAATGTTTCCACTGTAATGACAGCGTAGAGGACGAGGTCCATGTTTTGTTTCACTGCGTATTATATGATGATATCAGGGCAACTCTTTTTAATGAATGTATTGCTAAATCTTATAATTTTTTAGATATACCTGATATCGACAAACTTTGTTTTATTTTCAGTGACTCCAGTGTGTGTTTTATACTTGCCAAAGTCTGCTTTTTAATTCTTAATCGTAGACAACATCTTTTATATGGATAACTTTTTACTATATCATCTTTATATCATTTATGTATAAATTCTGTGATAATTCGTCTCTCATAATTCTATTGAATGGTTCTGTACATTTTATCTATGTCAGGTTGTATAAAGCTGTTTTATGTATGTACAGGAGTGAGACGTTAATAAACTATTGTCTGTCTGTCTGTCTGCTTAGTCCTTGTCATCCTAATGAAGACACTGTTCGACTGCATTGTACAGTGTAATTACCCAGACTGAGCAGCTGTGTTTGTAACACTGAGACTGTATCTGATGTTGAACTGACATTTATTAATATGAGGTCTTCAGGAAATACTTGTCAACCATTTGCACAGTCTCATTTGACAAGTCGCTGAAACAAATTGAAAATAGGATTGGACATCCGGGTCTTTATATCTTTCATGGCAACGCAGAAAGGTTTACTCGGGTACAGTGGCTGCAGAATAGTTTTACACAAAGTTATCGCAAGTCAGTTTGGTTAAGCACCACTATTCAAGTTCTGTCACGGCGTGTCAGCGTAATGTGGGAGGACAACCCGAAATGATGCATGTCCTAGGCCTTTTCCACTTTTGTGAAACCAACGAGCACGTGTATGGTGCTCGTTATACCGGGACACATAATCAGGCAAACGTGTTTGTTTAATTGTTTGTTTGTTGTTTAACGCCGCACTCAGCAATATTCCAGCTATATACCGACGGTCTGTTATTAATCGAGTCTGGACCAGACAATAAAGTGATTGACAACATGAGCATCGATCCACGCAGTGTGGATACGATGACATGCATCAAACAAGTCAGCGAGCCTCACCCCCGATCCCGTTAGTCGCTTCTTACGAAAAGCATGAGTTGTTTCAGATCAATTCTAACCCGGACCTTCACGGTCTCAGGCAAATGTGGGATTCGAACCCGCGATCATAACCTAGGCCACTCGTGTCGCCCAAAGTCACTGTGATCATGTACAGAACTCCCCCCCCCCCCCCCCCCCCCCCCCCCAGGCAAACGTATTCGTTTGTTGTTTAACGCCACACGGCAATATTCCAGCCACATGACGGTGGTCTGTAAATAATCGACCAGACAATCCAGTGATTGACATCATGATCATCGATCTACGTTAATTAGGATACGATGACATCCATCATCCAAATCAGCGGGTATGGCCACCCGATCCCGTTAGTCGCCTCTTTCGAGAAGCATTGTCGCCTTTTACGGCAACTTTACCTGATCTTGACAGAGGTTTCGTTTGATCAATTTGGACAGAAGATTACCATTGAGACAATGTGAGATGCCAAACAAGATGCGTACAATTGTTTGGTCTGCGATGAAAAACAATATGGTATCTATTTTCCACATATGTGGAAATGAAGTATTAGTTAAAGTTTCATAATATTACGTGTGGTGTACTTCAAGATAACATTCACTAAGCTGCTTTCCCCCCGATACAGATGAGGGCGGTCGGGTAGCCTAGTGGTTAAAGCGTTCGTTCGTCACCCGGGTTCGAAGACCCGGGTTGGATTCTCAACATGGGTACAATGTGTGAAGCCCATTTCTGGTGTCACCCGCCCTGATATTGCTGGAATATTGCTAAAAGCGGCGTAAAATCAAACTCACTCACTCACTCGATGCAGATGACATGCATAAACAAAGTGTGCGAGCCTGATCACCCTATAACCCATAGACATCTTTTTTACCTTAATTGCAACTAATTTTGCCTCAGTTTTGTACAAAATGTAAACATTAAATGTCATTATATTACCGATTAATAAATGCCTAGCGTTGCAAACAAATGTAAATTAAAAGAAGATAAAATTAAATGACGGTAACTAACATATATGTACAGGAAAAAACAAAGCTTGTCATTTTAAATATTTTCCAGAATGGTACCAACATGGATTTCTATTTGATCCAAGTTCCAAATGATTCGAGACAGTGTGTAGAACAATACATTGCTCAATATAATGGTCAATTTCATTACAATAATCTGTGGTATGGCTAGTGTGTAAGCCTTGGGTTAAATCCTCAGACGAGTTAACAAAGAGCGCAATGAAAGGAGGACGCAAAGAAACGGAGACCGTGTCTGCCTAATGACTAGTACGCCCACTACTGACCTGTCGACAATGACCACCCGTGAAGATGGCGTGCGCAGCAGCCGCCTCTTTTCGCCGATCTCTAATCAAATAAAAGTCAAATAGCCGTTCAATTGCTACATTTATACATCTCAATCCTTTGTTTAATATAGACAAGTAAAGACACCCTTCTCTTCTAAAAGAATTATGCAAATTATTTATCCATAGTTAGGGCTGGATGAAAATTAACCAAATCTAATCATGAATATACATATACAAGTATCACATAATTCCGCATCCACACTAGAATGTTCTATAATATACATTACAGCCCTGATTATGAATAAAGGTTACACAAAATCAGAGTTACGTAGGAACAGCCTATCCCCGTGGACGACCACGCCTCCTCAACGTCGCCGGAAACGTAGCGTTGTCACGTGCTGGTATAAAGACGGATGTGTTGAACGAGGCATTGGATTGTTCCCGGAGTAAGATTCTGCAGGTGCCTTCGTCTCCAGGTGCAGATAACAACATGCGCGCACCAATGGACTCCCGAGTTGCAGAGATGGCGGACGCGAAAAGAAAGCCAGACATTATCACCAGCTTTATAAGAGGTAGGGGATCAACGATCAAATCTTATTTATACATGTCACTTTGAGACAAGATTGATATTATGTTTCCAATACGACCTGAGGGAGTTGAGAGACGCTGGACCCCGGCGGTAGCGTTCATCTCAAAGGCGTGCTTGTATGGCAGGGGGTTGGGGTTGTGGGGAAATGGGAAAGACTTGTTTCAAGTCAAGGAATCAAATTCATTTCCCGAATATAGCGAGTGCAATTAATATGTTCTAAAATAAAGATCACGTAATCATTCTTTAAACTAATAAACTGCCATAAAAACTAGTTAATACCTAAATTACCTGGTGCGTGTGTGTGTGTGTGTGTGGGGGGGGGGGTTGAGATGTATATACAGGGCAGCTGTATATGTGACAGCATCTGTCACAATAGCATGACTTTTCGCTCACTTCGTGACTTTGTGCAACTGGTCACCCGGGGGGAGGGGTGGGGGGAGGTGGGGTGGGGGACATTGAGTGAGTGAACGACAGAGTGAGTGAGTTGGGTGTTGCGCTGCTTAACCAATCGGAGTTAAGTAAGTTGAATGAGATTTAACGTCGCGTTCAAGATATAGCGTCGTGCATATACATGTTTGTGTGCGTGCGTGCGAGCTAGCGAGCGCACGTGCGTGCGTGCGTGTGAAAATGTGCCAGGTTGAGGGTGCATGTGAGGTGTGTGTGGCGAGACAGACAGTCGGACAGACAAATAAACACAGATACAGATAAAGACGAAGACACAGAGAGGGGGATGGGTGGTGTGGAGTGGGGTGTATTAACAGGTAAGGATACGTCAACAGCAGATTATGGAAGACAAATATTGTCTGTCATTAGTAAAATGTTAGTTAGTAATCATGCCATTTTTACCTTAATTCGTTTCATATCTTAAAAGGCTGACCAAAAATATATTAAAATTGCCAAGTAAATTTCAAGATGAAAAAGGTTCTTGTTATAACAGAAGTTCTGGGTTTTACAACCTCTCATTGCACCGAGCACAATAATAGATTGCAACATGAACTGTACTACATGATATCTTTAAGATTCAACCTAGTATTTTGATTGTTCAACATATTATCTTGAAATTTCATTGAGTATTTAGTGAATAGAGCGTCTGCGCGGAAAGTGGAAAGTCGGTGGTTCGATCCCCGGCCGCTTCACACCAAAAGGCGTTAAAATATGGTATTTGTTGTCACCTTGCCTGGCGCTCGACATTAAGAGGATGAAACAAGGAATGGTCGGCTCGGAGTTGGCATACTGTGCCTGAATATGTTTTTATGTTAAACTGCAGCATGGTATCTCAGTGAGGTAGCACTATAAAAGGCCATTTATACGTATGTTGCTGACACACCAAATAACATAAGTAGGGCAAATCTAGTAACTTGGAAATCCAACATACCAGAGTTGGATCCAGGGTTTTGAAGGGTGTATGTGTGTGTGCGTGCGTGCGTGCGCGCATGCATATATACTGAACAACAAAAGTTCCTGTGACATTGAATAAGATTTAATGCAAAGTTATGTTTTTTACCAAATCTGAAACAATTTCGGTTTTCAACAGATACAGGACTCCTGTAAGTGTTTAAATGGATTAATTTGCCATACTGACTTCAGAAAATGCATGATTTCCTAAAAAAACACCAATGAACATGCCCAAATGTCAATTTACAAATCAATAGCGTGTGTGTCCACCTCTGGTTGCGATGCAAGCAACACATCTTCGTCTCATGGAATGAACCAGGCGTCGCACAAAGTCCTGTGGGATATCTGTCCATATCTGCTGGAGCATGTTTCGAAGTTCGTGGAGTGTCTGTGGAACACGTGATTGACGTCGAAGGCGCCGATCCATCTCATCCCACATGTGCTCGATTGGTGAGAGATCAGGGGAGATCAGCGAGCCGGCCAGGGGATGACATTTACGTTGTTTTGTTGAAGCGAATCCTGAACAAGTCGAGCAATATGAGGCCTGGGCCATGACGACACAAAAACGGTAGATCTCGTCGCGGAAGCGCTGTCCATTGAGATTTCCCTCTACCACTATCAAAGGGGTCCTCTGTCTTGCTGTAATCCCACCCCATATCATAAAGCTGCCGCCACCGAACCGATCTTCTTCCATGACACAATGATTGACGTAACGTTCACCTCGACGTCGGTACACTCGAATCCGTCCATCGCTGTGGCTGAGGTGAAAACGAGACTCGTCAGTGAATAGAACTTGTCCCCACTGCATGGCCGTCCAGCGTAGACGCTGTCTGCGCCACTGTGGACGTGCTTGACGGTGGTTTCCTGTCAAAATGGGACGTCTGGCGGGTCTTCTGGCGACAATCCCTGCACATCTGAGGCGGCGACGTACCGTTTGTGAAGATATTCGTCAAAGGCCAGGAATGCTTCTTGCAGTCACTGTTGCTGGCTGGAATCGATTTCGTAGGTGCGTTGTTCGAATCCAGTTGTCTTGTCGATTATTGGTTACGCGTGGCCTGCCACTCCGAGGATGGTCTCTGACTGTATTCGTCTGTTGCCAACGTTGCCATAAACACCAAATGGTGTTTCTGTGGACGTTAAATTGTCTTGCAACACCACGTTGACTCGATCCTGCTTCAAGCATACCAATGGCTCGCAGACGCTCATTTTCGGACAGGCGTGGCATTTCGTAATGTTGAATAACAATCTCATTAAAATCAGACCTTAGTTCTCGCTACCGCTAAACAAAGCTTTGTTTAGCGGTAGCGAGAACTAAGATCTGATTTTAATGAGATCGTGTTGAATAATTGCGTAATTGTTTTGTTTGTCTAAGTGGTTCTTGTCAGTACGACGCTAAACATGCATATGGAATCCCGTTAACGCATATGTTTTTATACCCATTCTTGAGTAGTGAAATGCATGGGGCTTGCATAAAAGTCAACTTTTGCTTGGAATGCATGCTTTTCTGTAGCAGTTGCGTTTTGGTGACTTGATTCCATACATGTATAACAATATTGAAAACCAAACTTTACTTGTTTGAAAAATACACTAAGATATGCGTGTCACTACGTGTCGTACTACTGGGCTTCCAAGATCGCCAAAACGGTTTCCTGTTGGTTGATGGGGGCACGGGTGGCCCAGTCGTCTAAGGCGCCGCGATTCGCTGTGCAGAGTTGCGCCCCTTGGGCACGCCAGAAACCTATGATTGTTGGTTCGAATCCCGGTTCACCGCGATTATGTTTCTAGGTTTATCAGCACCATAACCGTGCTCGTGGGTTTCACCGAAGTGGTAAACGTCTAAGGCCTGCATCACTTCGGGCTTTCCTCCCACATTAATCTGACACGCCGCGATATAACTGTAATACTGTTAAAAGCGGCGTTAAACCCAACTCACTCACTTCTATGATTCCACATAACAGGGACCTGACTTCCAAATCCACTGGATGTTTTGTGATCTGGAGTATCCAGAGGCCGGGAAGTTTTTGAAACAACTGTTAACTGCGCCCTTGAAAAGTATGCGCGCACGGACACCCACACCCTCCCTCGTCTCCCTTTTTCAAAATCCTGGATCCGCTCTGTCATCAAACCCATTCTTGACCACCGCAAACTGTTCAAAAACGTTGTTTACTCTATAAAGAAGAGCATATAATTCCCGTCAAATGCGTGGGAGAGACCTGCATCACTTATGGCTTTCCTCCAACATTAAGCTGACACGCCGTGATATAACTGGAATACTGTTAAAAGCGGCGTGAAAACCCAACCCACTCACCTGTTGGTTGAGAACGCGAGGACGGAGCACAGTACCATGTGTCAAGGGGACCTCTAATTAAACATCCCACTGTTACAGGACAAGTAATAGGACACACAGTACACAATGACATCTTTGTAAGGAAACTAACACATCCAATTAAAGAAGAAATACGACTTTTCAGCTCCGTTTCTATTGAAATTTGTTTGGAGGTCACCTGGCGAGTCTTGTTGCAAGGATGGAGGCGTTGCAAGGATGGAGGCTCGGGTTCATTAATGAGAACGGATGATGCTGCCGTTCGTGGAATGTAAATTAACCTGTTCAAACTCCATGTTTGGTAACGTGTTTCTGGTGGATATTACGATCGTAGTGAAGCCACGGTACGAAATACGATATGTATTTGAAGAGGCCAGAGTTTACAAGTGTCAAAATACAGTTTATTACTTTGTGTTGTTTGAGGTGGACGGAATTGATATTACCTACCAAAATAGACCTGGATGAGCTTGTTAATCGGTTATATATTTTGCGTGTTCGGTTCCAAATTCAATTTAGCGCGGTAAAATCTACAGGTAACCTAGCTCTACATTGAAAACACAGTACGTTTATCTCCAATCTACCATGACTAAATAAAACGCAAACTCTTTGGTGTTTGCAAATGTATTGAGTGAAGCGGCATGGGTTGAGTCCAGTTTTTTGAGTGGGTTATCGATCTGAATTACAGAATCACCGAACAAAATATGGCGCTGTATATACTCAAGCAGTTTGTTTACACCGTAATACTTCACTCGAACATATGACAGGCATTGAAAGCATATAAACACGGCAACTTGGTATGCTAACACGAGGTGGGCATCCCTAAAGAAAACTAAGCAAGCTTTTCAAGGCTTTCGTTCTACATCGCACGTCACCATTATGACGTCGTTTCGCTCATTGTGACGCAAAAGATATGACGTCACAGTCGTATATAGAAAAGCGCCTAAATTCCAAGCTGTCTGTTGTCTCCAAAACGTAAACACATTCCCTTTGTAGGTTTCTATCGTGTTTTCTGCACGAAATGTATTGCCACACATCCTTTGAATATTGTAGTAACTGCATCTGTGCATTTTGTAACCTGTAATTGTAGATATATAGGGAATCTCACCCGAGTGTCTTTTGATATCAAATATATCAACACGAGTTGATAAAAATGGGTAATCTCCAAGGCTTGCCGAGGTTTTTTTTCCACTTTTATTCACAAGTGTTGATATATTTGATATCAAAAGACACGAGGGTGAGATTTTATTTATCATCCAACATCATTC